GGGGGGGGGGGGGGGGTGTCAGAGGAGGGAGCTGTCAACCAGGATGGCCAAGCAGCAGGAGAGGAGAGACGCTGTCATCCTGTCTGTATGACAGCGGCTCTGTGTGACCGAGCGGAGGATCAGTAAATAGCTGTGATATCGCTGTCACAGGAGGCTGAGCGGGCGGTGTGGAGAGGAGAGCTAGGTCTATTATGACAGCTGACTCCCCCTGCACTACCGGCTCGGCTTACTGTGTCAGCTGTCTCCGCCCCTACACCGCTCTCCATCCTGATCTGTCACAGGAGGCTGAGCAGGGCAGTGCGGGAGGAGAGCTCGGCCTCCTGTGACATCGCGGCTCACAGTGCTCTCCTCCCCGCCCTGCTCGGCTGTCTGAACATTTCTCTCCTCCCCACTGGACACTGCACTCAGGGGAGGAGGGAAACTATAGATGCACTGCGATTTTGGCCGAAAGATGGTACTTTCGTAATTTTACCAAAAGTGCCATTTGCGACCGAAATTTTGGTGCATCCCTACCTGTCACCACTAAAGTGCTATCACACAGGGGGCATTTGAGCCTCCACCATGTGATGGCAATGAAGTTAATTAAACAAAAAAAATCATGTTAAAAAAACAGATTTTTAAAAAAAAAACAGATTTAAAAGCACCACATTTTTTTTTTATATCCCCTTCCCCGCACATACTAATGCAGACACACATGGGGTACACCTACGTAGCAAAACGACAATTGCGGCACATATGTTATTGAAAGCAATAATTCACACTTAACTGATGACCTGTATAGGCTTTTAAATCATTACATATGGACAATTTGGTGTACTGAATTTTTTTGCACCGTTTCAGGGGCACATGCAGATTTTAAGTTTGGCATGTTTGGTATCTTTTATTCCCCACAACCTCATCTTTTATATTTTACACAACAAAATCGGTATTATATTGTGCACTACAAATTAACTCAAAAGAGAACTATGCAGTAAGTGTTTTTCCCCATAGTTCTCTTTAGGGTCACGGGAGGACATATACTAGCGTCCTCCCGTGACCCAAAGCTCAGTATATAGCGAGCTATTGCCCTCGATATACTTTGAGCGCCGCAGCCAGGATGGTCCCAACACTACTGTCTGGATCCACCCAGCTGCGTGAGTGACAGCGTGCTCTGCCTATCTAGAGGCAGAGCCAGCTGTACCCGCCCCCTCCCCGTCTGTTCCTCCACTCAGAGCTGGAGGATCAGAGAGGGAAGGGGGGAATACCTGCGGGGGATCGGTGACTGACAGTCACCGCTCTCTGCAGGGAGACGATCGGAAAGTGAGTGGATCGGCTGCATGTTTCTGCTCACTTCCCGATCGATAGAGTCGACCTGTGACAGCTTCTTTGTCACAGGTCGGCTCTAACTATGAGGATGAGTGGAAATCACTCACCTCATAGTTCTCCTTTTTAAGTGTGTTTTTTCTGAAATTTTGGGTTTTATAAAGAGTTGTGCTAATATGTGAAATAAAAATTTCTAACTGCCACCATTTTATTCTACATGGTTTCTGATTTCAGTAAATATTGAATTTCCATAAGTTTCTATCCCTCTCCAAATACCCATATCTATCTAGAAGTTTGTAAACTTACTGAAGATGTCCATGGGATGTACTTCATCAATGCACTGGCATAATTTTACTCAGCCCTGTAAATATGCACTTCTGTGTGTCACGACTCTCACAGGGCCTGCCTCCAAAACTACAACTTAATGTCTGCACCGTGTAACATGTCTGCACCGTGTAACATTATCATTTCTTGCTGGAAGCAATGCATCATGGGATATGTAGTGTTGAGAAATGGAGATTACATCACAACAAGCAGCAGTGAAAGAGACACACAGCACACTGGGAATCCAGGAAGTTGTTGAAAGTAATGGGCAGACGGAAGGCAGCACTCACTACATAAAAGGGATTTTTTAAAGTAAACTTTGATTGCATTATGAAAAACAACTAGTATGTACTCCTATAACAATGCTGATGTTATAAGAGGACAGAATATCCAGGAACTTTACTACTCCTTTCAGAGATCACATAATATTTCATAGCTGTGCAAAATTCCCTTTGTTAGACAAGATTGGAAAGTGCAATAACAAACTCATGACTATTTTAAGGAACGATTAAGGTGTGTTATAATGTTATCTCTTAATAAATGAGTAAGCTTTGCAACGCGATCCATTGTGTGCTTACTGGATTGTTTATGGATGAGGAGAGTGGAGGGGCAGATTTAAAAAAAACAGGATCTCCCCTCATTCATTCACAGAACGCCTTGTATTCTGTAAATAAAAATGACAAAGCATTGTAGGGGAGAGGATAAGGAGGGTGAATGACACGATACTTCACTGATGCAACTTTGGCTTTTCATTCCTGCAAGAAGTATAGCACTGCCTGTACATTCCAGCAAGAGTGAGAAACCGATTTTGGAACTAACTGTCATGGATCCAGACTGAGGATTACCGTCATTGGTAACTTGTTTGTACTGAGCACTAGTGATGGACTCGGGCGTGTTCCCAGCTCCACGTGCCGAGCCCGCCAGGAAGCTGACAGCGCGCAGCGCCAATCACAGGTACTGAGACATCTGCAGAGATCGGGATATGTCCCGGTGCCTGTGATTGGCGCTGTGGCGCTGTCAGCTTCCTGGCAGGCTCGGCACGTGGAGCTGCGAACACGCCCGAGCCCATCACTACTGAGCACAAGGCGGAAAAAAAATTCCTGGACTTCAGTTTTAAGGGCTTTTAATCATGTTAAGCACATGGCTACACTTTTTCTAATAGTCCTTTAGATTAATAGGTGACTTTTCTGTTTCAGTTCTATACTATTTCATGTCGTGTAAACCTTATGTCCATTACTTTTGGTTTACTGTAGGTTTTTGAGCATCGAGGGTGGAAGTGCCAATGACATCGGGACAGAGAAAATTCAGCGGCAAATTAATGAAGCCGTCCAAAGAGAAGGAGTTGATAAGTTAGCTGAGAAGCTGAAGACGACTGTGCTCACATTGCAGCTAATTATTGACGGCCTATGCCAGCCTGAAGGCTATGACATTCGTACAGGTATGGTGTGGAGGGCTGACTACAAATTTCCTGTGGTCTACAAGTACTGACAGTTTACATAAAAGTGACAGGTTCCCTTGAAAGCACAGCTCCCACCTGCTGATGTTTACATTCGCTGTAATATTTCACCACTCCGTTTCTCTGCCATTAGGGAATACTTGGCCCTTCTGCTCATGGGGGAAAATTAGACTTCCACCTAATGTTGCAGTGCGGAGGCCTGAGCAACCAATCACCAGGTCTAAACAATGTCACATGCGGTAGACGTCATCCTTTATGATGTGTAAGCTCCAACACCATCCAACATGAGGCTTACACAGCGTGAGGATGAATGGAACGCATTGTTCTTTTCCATTGGACCTGTCACTTTATCCTGAATAGTAAAAGTGTTAGAGCCTCTCTAAAGCTAGCCACACATGCCACAATAATATTATGCAATCTTCTTTAGATCTGCCAACTACCATGTAGTATGAGGGCCTGTCTGATTGTATCAATATTGAATTGATTGTTGAGTTAAGGTCTCGTGGATTTTTTAAATGTAAAGGAGATTGTACAGATTATTGTAAGGTGTATGGCCAGTTTTAGACTAGTTCAATAACCTCAAGGGGGGAAAGGTATGATTATACTTAACACCCTCCATCTCAGCCTCAGACAAAAAACGATACTCATTTTAGTAGAATCAATCTTTCGTGTCCCATTCACCCAGACTCCACCGCCTCTAAACAATTAATAAAATACAGAAAACGTACCTATGTCCAAAATAAAAATGGTTGGATTTGGACTCTAGCCCCATTGCTACCTAGAAAGTTTTTCCAGGTTTCCCATGCAAACTCATACAATTGTTTAATGAAACTGAAAATTAACTAAAGACCCACAAACAATACAAACAATATAGTTTGAAAGCAGGGGGCCCATGCAATAAAATACAGTATTCATGAATATCTTCCCATGATCTTTGTGCAGATGTTTAACATAAACACAATGTGGTCTCCACATTTCCATAAAATAAAAAGGCTAAAGCTGTGCTGGTTTTATAAGTTACAAATAAACAAAACAGAAACCGAAACAGAGGTGCCTCCATGGTTTCTCTCCTCCCCGGTTGGCGATGGCCTGTGTCCCCTCTGACACAGTGCAACGGGAGGAGAGAAACTGTCATAGGAGGCCGAGCAGTGCAGGGGGAGAGCGCTGTGAGCGGCCGGCGTCTCCTACCGCCCCGCTCAGCCTCCTGTGACAGATCAGGAGAGCGGTGTGGGGCAGAGACAGCTGTCACAGGAGGCTGAGCTCTCCTCCTGCACCGCCCCGCTCAGCCTCCTGTGACAGCGAGTCAGGATGGAGAGCGGGTACCAGCACTCAGTGATCTAAAGGACTCAGAGTGTTTGTAAATAATTGAGGGCATGATATGTTTACTGTGTCCCCAATTCATCCATGCTCCTCCTGTTCATTCATGATTGTGGACATGGTCAACATACTATCGCCACAAGTTATGAATGAACAGGAACACTCAGTATAGAGGATTCCTGTTCATTTAAAACAGGGGCGGCAGAAAAAGAGATTGAGGACTTTGTGTTCCCAATCTCTTTTTCTATTTTAAAAGGGAAATATCAGGGGTCTATTTAGACCCCCAATATTTCCCCCCACCCCCCAATATTTCCCAAAAATAAAAATCAAAAATTTGAAGAAAAAAAAAACATTTCCGGTTCGACCTGAAATTGTTTTGTTTGTTTCGGCTTTGACATTTTAATTTCGGAGCACCTCTATTAGAAACAGTTACAGTGTGAGGCATTTAAAGCTGAACTGCAGGTAAACAGCTAATTATGCAGGTAAAATAAATATATGAGAGCTGTATTACCTGGTAAGGTATTTTTATTTCTGTCCATCCAATCCCTTTACACAGGGCAGGAGATCTGATTTTACTCTGCTGCAGTTTATTACCACTTGCAGTGCTTCTCCCTCCCTGACCCTGTGACTGGACAGTGAAAGGAGAAAGAGCAGACTCATGAACTCGTTCCTCTGCCATCTCCTCCTTTCAGCATGTTCCTTGTTAGTACTGCAGCACAGTGCTTAATTGGCTCCTTGTGATACTTCTTTCTTTCCTAGTCTGAGCCTTGCTGTACAGTGCATTCATTAGGCTGATACCAAGTCAAGTTTAAAATAATGACACTGCGTGCATTAAAAGTACATTTAATGAGGTTTTAAAGTGACACTAAACTAAACTCAGGTGTTAAATCTTATAAATGCATTCAAGTACCTTAACTATTAACCAAACTGTATCCTATTTGTGTAACACTCGGCTGTAGATCCTCAAATAATCTCTGAATTGGTGCTGACACTGTCCTTCCTTCTGGAGGGTGACTACTTTTGTTCCCCATGGTCCCTGTGTGTGTTGTAAAGTAGCCACTGCTCCAAGCTCACTCCTGTGATGGAGTATAATAATGATACAAATTAGTAAACTAAACGTGAGATTGTAGTCCATCTTGGATCGGTGGCTACTTTAACTCCTGAGTTTAGTGTCTCTCGAAGCATGGCAGGAGTGGTAGTGGTTATGAATATAGAACTGTATAAAAGTGTGTCTTTTATATGTGCTTGGAGTTCAGCTTTAAAACCTTTGCTGCATATGGTATCACTACTGCTGCTGCTTAGAATTAATCTAAAAAAAAGGTGCCTAACGTTATTCCTAAGTATTCTTGTGGGGCCAGCCAATGTGTAGTGTGTTTGTTTCTGGCTTCTGATTGTGTAGATGTGTGTGTTGTCTGGGGTTTG